CTTTTACATACAAAGCCAGGGCAGGGAGGAAAACGTCATCAGGCTGAAAACATTCAACAGCAAAGTGTAAATTAAATGTGTGGAGAGGCTAGGGGAGGAGGAGCCTTGGGTGGGGGTGGGGTGGGCAGAGAAGTAGGGACACTATCTTCACCCCATTGTGTATGGGCAGAGCTAGTCCTGCATCCTACATCTGCCATTAGGATCTCTGTGACCTTGGGTAGATATGGAACACTTGGAGCCTCAGTTTCCTCACTGTTGTGTTGGGAAATACACATTTAGGGGCTGGTGGAGGATTAAAGGGGATGATGTGCATAGAGCGTAGGGCACTGCTGGACTACTGATGGCCACTGTTATTGTTGTTGCTGGATCAAAACCAGATCAGAATCTCAACTGTTCCCATACCTTAGAGACTTACCATTACTGGCCTCATTTAGGGAGACAGATGGGTAAAAATATGTCCAATGGAGGGAGACAGATGGACAAGAAATGATGATCAAGGGATTGGATGGAATGACAACCCAATGGGGCAGTGGGCAGATGGAGCATCTCATGGGGAAAGCGGATTTATGACAACTCGAAGGAGACACAGAGCCTGTGGGTCCTGTGGGAGGGACAGATGGATGAGGGTCCAACAGGCAAGATAGAGAGATGACAGGCCATAGTGGAAGACAGATGGGCAGTAATTTCGTAGTGGGGTGGGAGAACAGGACTGGGCAACCCTGTGATGGGGGAGAACAGAGGACAGCACGTTGATGCTGGAGCTTGGACTTCCTGTTTAGTCTCTATTCCTCAGGCCTGGACATCCCTGAATGCGTAAGAACCCCAGGCGCTCTGTGGTTATGAGAGAGAAAGAGAGAGAGAGAGAGAGAGAGAGAGAGAGAGAGAGAGAGAGAGAGAGAGAGGGGGGGGTATCAGGATTCTGATTCGTGGCCTGAGAGACACTAGGCACCAGGATCAGACTGGCCTCTGTTCCTCCCCACTCCCATGGCCCCTCCCTGGGTGGCCCTGCAGATAAAGGCTCAGCCTTGATGAGGAGGAAGAGGAAGAGGAGGAGGAGAAGGAGGAGGAGGGAGAAAACTGTTATTTGAAAGAAAGGGGGAAAAAAACTGGCTAAAAGTTTTATTTATTTAAAATAAAGGTTCAGTTATGCTTGACTGTAAACACACAGCCCATCCCTCCCTCCCTGGCTCTTCTTGTGGCAGAGGGCTAGGACCACACAGCAAGTTGGGGGCCGGAGGCAGAGAGAAGGCCAGTGTGGGCCGGAGGGAGGGGTAGGACTAGGCTGTCCCAGGTGTGGGGAGGGGAGAGTGGCCTGGAACTCACTGACCTGCTGTGCACAGCTGGGCTGGGCTGGTGCTCAACCGCTGGTCCCTGGCTCGCAGCCCTTCAGCACACAAACCCGCAGTAGACCATGCAGCTCCAGCTCCACATGCAGCACACACATGCCCACAGCCCAGAGATGGAACAGGCAGGGGAACAGATGCTCACGGGCATGCAGGCCTGCCTCTCAGCTCTGTCTCTGTTTATCTCTTTGGCAGATAGCACAGTAGGGTCCTAGAGGAGCTGGGCAAAGCTCCAGCTGTGAGTCACCTCTTCTATTTGAAGTAGAAATCTTTACCTGCCTCTTTCAGGTTCCACCTGACTTCCTTCATGTATTTCGGTGACTGAACCATTTGGGTGGCCAGTAAGATCCTGCAAGCTCCCTGGAGAAGGGAGACGGTGTGGATGGAGAAGAAATTGGAGCGTGGATGGAGAAGAAATTGGAGCGTAGATAGTTGGAGGACCCTGCCTTGCAAATCCTTTGTGGAAAAACTTAGCCCCGTGCTGCTGCGTTGGTGGCCCAGCTAGCCAGGGAAGGGCTGTGGTATGCAGGGTCGGGAGGGAATAGGCAGGAAATGATTGTGATAAGAGGCTTCCCTCTGGCCAACTCCCCAGTTTCCAGACTGGGCTTCAGGATAAGGGTCAGGAGCTGGGCCTGGACATCTGGGACCTTCTGAGGAGGTGGCTGCCAGGACAGTCTTTGGGTCTGCAGCAGGAAGGGCTGCAATTGCAAGGGCCCCTGGGACCTGATGGGCAAAGCCTGGGAATAGAAATGGCCTTGGAAGCCCAGCCAGGGCTACCTTCCTTTGGGTTCAGGAATTTCAATCAGACTTCATAAAGCAAAATCAATTTCTTAAAAAAAAAAAATACCCCTCCCCTCAACTTTGTGAATCCACATTGCTGAGAGGGTAGAGCAGGTTACAACTACAGCCTGGCCCCAGGGAATTTTGTGCTCTAGATGGTTCTCAGTCGGAGTAAAAATGGAAAAGGGAGTAATGTACACGAACACCAAGTGGACCCCCTGAGAAAGAAGGGATCAAACCCAAAAGGGTCAGCTGCCGGAGATCAACTGAGTCCTCAGGAATGTGTGTCTTGCGGTCATTTGCAAAGCCTGGTGCTCCTTGGGCTCCCGCTGTCTCCTCTTTGCTCAAGGCCCAGTTGCTCCACCATCTGTGGTTGACTTGGATAGCTCACAAAAGAACTGGAAGTGCTGCAGAGGAAAACCCCATGGGCGGTGAGGTCGTGGGGCCCCTCACTATTGTACCAGCGCCCCTTCTGAAGGATTAGCAGCTTCTATCTGTCCCTAGGGGCTGCACTGTAAATGCCTGTGTAATGCTAATTTGTGGTTGGCAGGAGATTGATTGGGAAGGAGCTGAATAATGGCAAGACGAGGCTGAGCTCCCTCCTACTTCTGGAGTGGTTGGGGTGTGTGTGTGTGTGTGTGTGTGTGTGTGTATGTGTGTATGAGTGGGAGTATGTCTTCTAGAAAGAAAGTAGCAATAAGACCCCAGAAAGGGTGATTATAAGAGAAGATGAAGATGAAGTCCTGATGGGAAGATTTTTGAAAGAGGCAAGAGTAGAGAGATGGTGGTGCTGGATGCCAGGATTTTTTGACCCAATGATGATAGAAAAGAAATCAATCGAGTCAGGTGAGTAAACAGGTAGGCAAGGATTTTTTTTTTTTATGACAGTGGAATGCATTACAAATCTTATTACACATAGAGCACAATTTTTCATATCTCTGGTTGTGGAAGAGACACCGCTCCTGCAAGAAGATGTCGGGCTGGCTCTCTCCATGGAAGAAGGGAGCTTATTTTTACTGGTGGCTTGCAGAGGTGGCAATGCCAGTTGGCACTCCACAAAAGCACTTTGCCCTGTCTGTGCTGAAAATAAGTTACTGCAGCTGTTCAAAAGAACACGCTAAAGGCACCCTGACCTCAGCAAAGCAAAGCCCACACTGGCTGAGGGTGGCACACACCAAGCCTCCTGGCATCTGCCTATTGAGCCAAGGCTTGGAAGTGCATGTGCTCTTTGTCCCCCAGTGGTCCCCGTCTCAGTCTATGGAGTCGGGGATTACAAATTTGGAGGGTTTTTTTCTTTTTCTTTCTTTTTCCTGATAGGAGTAACATGCTACTGTTTTTACCATATTCTATTCATCAGATCCAAGTCCTAAGGTCCAGCCCACACATAAGGGGAAGGGATTCTACTTGGGAGGTAAGAATCATTGAGAGCTGTATCAGAAGCTGCCTATGACATGAAGAAAGATTCCAGCAAAAGTGCCTGGTACATACTAAGTGCTCAAGAAAAAGATATATTTGTTATTTGGACAATGACTTGCCTAGGATGTGTGCTAGGTTTTCCCAACATGGCCTGGGTGGTCTCTGATGTCCCAGCTTCAATTCCATGGGTATTGCTGGTTTTTTTGGGAAGGTGTTTCCCTCTGGCACCCTGAGGTTTGTGACCAGCTCTCTGGGCGCAGGCTTGCAGATAGAGAGGGTCGATGCTCACTCCCACTCCCTCAGTCTTCCTCAAGTCCTCTTCATAAACGTGTGGTCTTGCACCGTGGTCAATGTACAGATATTTTAATTTCCTGCTCACCTGCTCTGTGGAGGATCTGATTTCTTCTTGCTTTTGTTTTTCTCTCCAGCAGTCTGCGGACAGGTACTTCTGTCTGACCATCTGGTAGCCATTCACCTTTATGGCGGCTTGAGAAAGGAATTAATTTCACTTGTTTCTTTAGCAATATCTGTCTCTTTTGACAGCAAGTTACCTTTATCACCTCTTAAAACTCTTACTCTGTTGGTCCTTCTGGTCCCTTGGGGACTCTTTAGATCCCCTAACTTGGTGCAACTGCATCTCCTCTGGCTCAGTGTTCCCTTTCTCTTTGCTCCACCCTTTAAACATCCTACATACTTCGGAGTCTGCCGTTGCCTTCCCCACCCACTGTCTGTGAAGAGTGATGGATTTGGCCCCCGTAGACCAACTGGAGTGTAATCAGAAAACAATCAACTGAAAGAGAAAATGTGACCCCTGCCCTGATCCTGCCCTTCTGAGGACTTCTTGAAGCCTTCAGTTTAATTCTGGTGGGTAATTTGGGGAGGGGCAGGGTATGGGAAGCTAGAGAAAATTCCTGGGTAAGAATGAGGTGCGTGGGAGCCTCTTCGTTCTGCTTTGTATCCCAAGTGTCCCAAAGGCCTACTGTTTCTCTAAGAAATCATGGGTTGGTATGGCAATTAGCAGATGGGACATCAAAGGACTCTGTTGAGGAGCCTGAGCATAGCCCACCATGCCAGGTTGTGTTTTGCTGTGGGGAGTGTTAGAATTCTCTCTGGCCATAGAATCCAAACACTTTGGATGAATGCTATGATATACCTTCTCTGAAAATGGTATTGCATGGAGTGGGTCAGAATGATGGCAAGGACTGTCTTCTAGAATCTTAAAACTCCTTCCCACACCGTCCCTGTGCTAGTCTCTAGTTGATATGGTCACCATTTCTAGGGCAGAGTAGTTTATACATAAGTCTGCCGTGTGGATCCCAGCCTCTTCACTTACTAGCTGTGTGTCTTTAGCTAGCTTCTCAAAGTCTCGGTTTTCTTATCTGTAAAATGGGCGTGTGCTGGTTTTTATTCTCATAAGGTGTCTATGAGAATTACATAAAGTAATAAATATAATACTGTACTTGGCATAGACTACCTGGTTCCTCAAAGTCTATTAGATTTATTATCTCTTCCCCCAGGGCTTTCCAGCAGCTGAAGCCTTAGTTTTGGGAGCTTACCATCTCTGCTGTACATTCTATGGAGACATCCCTTTCTTCGCCCTCCCTCGACTGTTGAGCTGTTAGAGTTTGCAGCCAAGGACACTGCACATCAGTCTCTCTCCTGGACACTCTGTCCCTGGGACTTTGGCTCCTCTCCCTTCAACTCTGTCCCAGGCTCCTCTGCAAAGTGTGAGTCAGTCTCCAAGTCCTGTCAGCTGATCTCTGTGGTGTGTCTGCTTGGGGCTTCGGGACACTCGGCTGGGAGGTCTTGCTCCTTATCATGGGTGACCCTGCTGTGAACCTTTCTGAGGCAGTGGGGAGAAGTGTAAAACATTCAGACAAGTTGTTATTTGTCATCCCTCTCGCCCACCCCTAAAATATTAACGGAATTTCACTCACTCTCTGAAACACAGAATTCGGTCAAAACCCTTTTTGTCTGTAGACACAGAGTGAACGTTTAATTTGGCTCTGGAGCTGTGCTGGAAAACGGCTCCAGAGGCCAGATGGGGTGTCTGTGGTGGGTCGGCTCTCCCTGGGCGAGGAGGTGTGACACAGGAGACGGGGAGGAGTCGGTGTGGCCTGAGGCTCTGTGGTGATCCTAGGCTGTGTCCACAGCTGCCCCAGGCTGGGAGAATCCTCAGCTCCTGCAGGACACCCTGGCAAAGCAGTGCCCACAAAACAGCTGGTTGTCTTTCTCATGTGGAAACTGGCTCAGTGGTTTCTGTGGTAATAGGACTCCTCCATTCTGTCTCCATTGAGAAGCTTTCTGGCTGGGGTGTCAAAGCCTGGGATAGGGAACCTTTTCAGAGAGGTTGAGTTATCTCCATCCTTTATCCAGAGGGAACTGGGCTTTGTAAACCCAAATCACTTGTAAGATATCAAGAGTGAAGCTGTAAGCTGGGGTGTTAGGGTGTTAGGGAGGTTGGCTGAGCTAGGAAAGAAGGAATGCTGAGTCAGTCGATGCAGGCAGATTTTGATGAGTGTTGTGAATTACCGGTTTGGCACGGGGACATGGATTGGCTTTGTACCAAATCATCGGTGTGTGTCTGGGGGGTGGTTGGGAGAAAGGCTGGCACCAGCGGAGACCCCGACAGGCAGGCTTAGGTAGACTGACAGTGTCTGTGAGCTTCTTCGAAGACCCTGGAGGGCTTGTGGAGAATCCAAAGTCTTCCTCAGGAGGTAGAATTGATTAGCCACCCCCTAAAGGAGGAGGAAGGTCATTCTTCTGTCTCAATTACTAATGCCCTGTCCACCGGGAGGGATAAAGCATATTTCTCAGATAAGAAAACAGAAGTGAGGAATCTAGAGGGTAGGAAAATTGGAGTGAAGATATTTTTCCTTTCTGATTATTCTAGAAAGACAGAAATGACTAGATGGTGGATGATAGTTGCCCTTTTGTATGGAGACTCAATGTAGAAGGAAGAGAAAGAGTGGCAAGTTCTGCAAGCTGATTATATTTGGAGCTGAAACTTATATTTGGAAGCTGACAATTGACCATTATCTTGCCTTTACCTGGGTTATTTCCCTACTTATTTATGAATTTATAACATAAGGGAGAACAGTTACTAGATCTCCGCAATTATTAATGGAATGATACTAGAAGATACTAGAAGAGCCTGCTGACTTCTTCATGATTTAAGCTGGTGGGTTTGATTCCTGATTTTCATAATCTGTACCTGGAGGTTTGTATGGGAGAGAATCATTGGGGTAGGCAAGAAACATGGTACCCATAAACCGGGAGGGCACCCCAGAGAATATGGCAGAACTTCCTTCTGACAGCTGGGGACAGCTTTCTGTGGGTGAGTGGGGATATAATCCCTTTTATCCTGGCTTTGGTTTGCTTGACTACCTCTTTAGCAGTGCTTTTCATGGCTGCAACAGGTGTCAGACTGCAGACAGGGGCTGAGAGCTGGCCAAGATCCTTTGTCATTTGTGACCTGTATGGCTGGACTATTCTCAATAGACGTCCATTGCCATGGGGATGGGAGATAAGATATTGTGTTCATTTCTGACAAAAGTCTAGGAACCAGTTGGGAAGAGCAGACTCTTATGGATCTCTGTTCCCTCCTGCAAAAAGAAGCAGCTATCATGGAAGATGCTGGGGGAAGGGGTAGATACCAGGAGGGATGAAGATGTCCAAGAGGTTCCTTGCTGCCTTGGAAAATGGTCCCATACAATTGCAAATCACATGCAGTCCAAAGAGAAGAAACAGCTGGATTCTTTTCATCGCCTAGCTTGCCTATTATCCCCAGCTAATACACCACACTGAGAGTGCAGAAACCTGGAAGTGTACCATAGTGGGGTGGAGCACTGAATTTGAGACTGCCCCTGGTTAGTTGTGGCACTGAAGAAGTTGCTTGATTCTTTGGTTCTATTGGTTTGTCTTCTGTTGGTGGGATAGGGAGAGTGGAGTGGACAGGAATTGGGTGGCCTCTCTTGTGTGACTCACTGGCCACAGCCTGACCGTGTCTCTCACACACAGCAGAGATGGGGCTTGCTTTCAGCAGTGGTGCACTCTGCCCCCCTTCCCCACTCTCCAGCAGGTCATTGTGCTGACTCGACTCACACAAACCCCCATCTGGACGCAGTCCAAACACCAGATGTGCCCCCGATTAGTGTCGGTCTGGGGAATGTTTCCATGACTGAAAGGTCAGTGTCAGCTGGAAGTGCCCAGAGTGGGTGTCTGCCCCCCACTCCATGTCAGCTGCAAGACTGGAACCTTCCATTATCTCACTGGCCAAAGAGCTGAGCTGGGGCAGGATGGGGGCTGCTGGGGATGGGGGTTGCAAATTCAAGAGGGCCTTGTTTTACTCCCTTCCCTCTTTGCTCTCAGGCCGAATGACAAGAGTGTGATTTTCACTTGGAAGAGATTCCAGGGGTGTGCAAAGAGGGAAGCCCTGCTGGTGTGTAACTGAAAACACTTAGTTCCCTTTTAGATTTGCCATGTACTCATGTCTCTTCTGATTTTCTTACAGGGGCCGTCACCTTCACTATAAAAGGAGAAACGGACGATAATATTGGGATGGGCTGGGTTGCCATGTTTTACCCTATTTACAGGTCATTTTAAGTATTGCTTCTACACGTTAGATAAGGCTTTCATGTTTAATTTCATGCATGTAGGGCTGGGCGAGGCTTTCCTCTAGGTAGCAATGAAAATTAAATACAATTGAGTTTGATGTGTACCTTATTGATTCCAGACCCATTTCAGTAGACTGTGACACTTCAGCGACCTGCAAATTCTACACATTAGAGTTCATATTTTATACAAATTCTGTATAAGCGAGATGTGGACTTGCATTTCCACTCGCAGTATCCAACTTCCAGCAAAAGATAGAGGCCCTGTCAGAAGATGAAAGCTACTAATGAAGACACATCACAGGTGGTATTTATGGTCACCCCTTAGGGGAAAAAAGGTTCATGAATAATTTCATGGAAATTACAACAAAAAAACCAAGTCATAATTTCCTCAATTCCACGTTCTCCTTTGGATTCTCTGCAGGCCACATCATGTTCCCTGTGTCACCACAGCTCCATTTCAAAGGGATGAGGCAGGAGTGGGGAGAGGTGGTATGTTAACTGGCTTGGGAACTGCTGGGTAATGAAGAGGGTTCAATGCCTTTGATGGCACCTTGTGGAGCATAGAGTTTCTGTACTTTGTGTGTGACTGTTGGTGACGTTTGCTTTTCTGTGGCTCACGGCTCTTCTGATAGTCATGTCATTAGAGAAGACCGCTTGAGCAAGGGAAACAGTTGGTGATCAGATCAAGACAGGAAGGGCAGGTTTGGACCAGTCTGAGTAACTTCGCCATCATCTCTCTTCTGCAACTGGGCTGTGAATTAGAGTCTTCACTTAGCCCAAAATGGGAAAAATGAATTTTTTTACAAGTGAGCATGGCCTTTTGAGGCAGGGGGTGGGGGGAAAGTGTCTTTGCCAGCTGGGGCAGGGAATAGAGGTGAGTCAGAAAGGCTTGGGGGAAATGGTATCCCCACTGAGGGTCTCAAGGCCACTTGTAAAACGACTCCTAGGTGTTAGTCTGCAGCTAAGGTTCCCAGCCTTGGCTGCACTTTGGAATCTCCTGGGGAGACATCCAGATCCCGTCTCACACCAATTCAGAATCTCTGGAGGGGTGGGGTGCTGGGTCCCCAGGCTGAGGTAGATTTAAAGGCTCCCTGAGGTAATTCCAATGGACAGCCAGGCTTGAGACCCAGTGATCTTGGACCTTACTAATCAAAAATGTTGTCTGGGGGCAGTGGCACCAGTATGGCCTGGGACTTTAGGCATGCCCAGCCCCAGACCTACTGAGTCAATCTCAGCATTTTCGCAAGATCCATGGGAGATTCAAAGTATATTAAAGTGTGAGAAGCTATGCTTTTCAAACTTTGCTTCACATTATAATCATTCTGGAGAGCTTTTAAAAACAAAAAATCCCAATGCCCAGGCCACACCTCATACGGATTAAATCAGAATTTCTGAGGGTGGGATGCAAGCATCAGTAGTTTTTTATAGGTTTTTCAGGTGATTCCAATGTGCATGGTTTCTCAGCCATGGCTACATATTAGAATCAACTGGGGACCTTTTAAATATCCTGATACCTGAGCCCTACCCTTAGAAATTCCAATTTAATTGGTCTAGGATAGGCAGCAAAAAAAATTCCTAGGTGATTTGAATGTGCAGCCAGCTAGAGCCTCTGTTCCAGAGTGTTGGTCTAGCTTCATTGAAGGGAAAATTGGCTTAAAAAGACTTCCTACAAGTCAATGGATCAAGAACAGTTGAAGGAAATAAACATACCTGGTATCAGGACTTTGATATCTGATCTCCTTACATATGATTACTACTATACTTTTATATTTTTATATGAATTCAAATATTCATATGCTCTTTTAGTTTTCTAATAAAGTTCCTTTTGAAAAACTTAACCTCAGTACAGCTGACTTAAGGGACAAAAGCAGTGGTATAACACTTAGTTCACTCACAGGAGCTCAGAGCAGCTAAGCAGTGAGGTGGGATGGAGGCAAGGTGAAGATAGAGAGCTTGGGAAGCTGGACTGAGGTGAGAAAAACAGGAAGGGAGAAGAAGGTGAGCTGATTGCAACTTCTTGTCCCTTTACCCTTTATTACTCTCACCATTTCCAATTTAATTGTGGAGTCAAGTAGTTCTAAAGTAGGGTTGTTGGATTTAGCAAATAGAATCACAAAGTGCCCATTTAAACTTGGATTTTAGATAAACAATGAATAATTTTTTAGTATAAGCATGGACTATGAAATATTTGGGACATATTTAAAAAAAATTTTTTTTTTTTGGTTGTAGATGGACGCAGTACCTTTATTTTATTTTTATGTGGTGTTGAGGATTGAACCCAGTGCCTTCCACATGTAAGGTGAGCACTCTATCATTGAGCTATAATCCCAGCCCTTGGGACATATTTATATTAGAAAATCTGAAATTCTATTTTAACTGTTTGTCTTATGTTTTATCTTCTATAGGCAATTCTAAATTCTCATTGTTGGAAATATCTTCCCTCTGCATGGGGCTTTCTCCAGGCTTTGAGTTGGCTCTTGCCAACTGAAGTGAGGTCCATGTGAGTTTGTTGGAACAAACTCAAGAGATCCATCATCCTCAGTTGGTTAGAGCTGGTGCTGATAACACCAAGGTCGCGGGTTCGTTCCCCGTACGGGCCACCAATTGCCGCAACCCGGCTGGGCGCAGAATCACGAGCCACTCAAGCAGGAACAAAACTTTATTTTTGAAAAATGCCGCCAATACCCCATACACGACCGGCCAGCCAGCCGGTCTACCCACGCGGTTGCGTCTCTCGGAACCAGGCCGCCAGACCTCCCCCGGAAAACTCTCCTACTATCCTTCCCCAACCAATGGGAACTTTCCAGGAGTTCTGTTCTGTAGCAGGCCAAGGTGAACAGCAGGAGTCCAATTTCCATATGAATGTAAATCTTCTCAATGGCTATGCCATGCATCATAATACTTTGCTGTGGCTCCTAGCAGGCTTCCACACACAGAGGCTCCTCCAGCCTCCAGTGTGTGTGTGTGTGTGTGTGTGTGTGTGTGTGTGTGTGTGACTCTGCCTATGGACTATGTCCTTGAACTTCACTTCTTCCAGGTTCTCTTGCAGTCCTCTGTGTTGAGGTATTTCCAGGGAGCTCCTCAGAAGTACCCTCTTCTCTGGCTGTTGCTTGCCTGGTGCAGGCTGTGTGTACCCAAGAGAAAGGGAGCTTGATGGTCTAAGGGGTGACAGTGTTGAGCAGATGGTGACTCAGAAATATATAGCAAGGGAGGGGGAAAGGCAAGCTCAGCTCACCAATTGCAGCCATAGCGTCTCCCTGAAGCGGCTGTTCCATGTCTGAGATCACATGTCTGGCTTTCAGCAGAGGCTGCTCCATTGAAACATGGTCAGAGTCAAAAGCACAGTTTCCTATTCCATTCTGCTCAGAAGAGCTTATCCTGGCTGGCTCAGAGTCGGGAGGAGGCTTGCAGGAGGAGTAAAGGGAGGCTGAGAGTCGGAAGAGACAGCTGCCAGCCAGAGAAGCACAGATATAGCTGGAGAGATGTCCAAGATGAGATCTATCTATCTATCAATCTATCAGGGGTACCTTGCTGGTTACATGGCTAGGGATATGCAGCTAGTTGCAGGGAGAAGGAAGGGTAGCTGGGATTATCTTTCCAGCCTGCCTTTAAAAAGACCCAAGCTGGTGCTGGCTTGTTCCCTGGGTAGGATCTTTAAGCCAATGAGCCTCACAAGAAGTCCAGGAGGGTGAGCAAGGTTGGAGCATTGGCTGACCAGGTTCCAAGGCCATGATTCCTTTTCTCTGCTGCTGTGGAGGTTGAGTGTCCCTGTACATGGCTCCTCCAGTATCAGACTCTGCAGGCACTGATGAGGCTTGGAGAGCAGCACCTTCTTGGAAGAATCTTGTATGGACTACCTCTTGTTGGAAATTCCCTTTTCCCTCTGACATCACCATCTTTCTAGAGTAATAAATCACTGCAGTTTAAAAGAAGGTTGCAGACTTGGCTTTGTGGTTTTTTCTGGGGTTCTGGGCTTGGGAAAGCCAGGCTCTTCTGTCTCCTTTTCCGTGTCCTGTCCTCTCTTGTCCCATTCCTGATGGGCTGCAGTGGGGAATGTCTTTCCAGAACCTCTACCCCAGGTACCCTAAAAGCGAAACGGGGGAAGATTTTCAAAAGAAACATCAATACCTCATGGCTAAATAAAATGATGAATGGGCTTTTGCCTCCCTAACATCTTAGTTGAGGGCAAGAGCAGCCAGAGGCTCTGGAAAAGTTTGGAAGAAAAACCAGGCAAAGGGAAGGGACAACTTCAGAACAAGAAAACCTCCTAAGCTCTCCCTTGCAGGGATTTGAGTCCAACAGCCTCATTCAGATTGTGCTGAGGCAGGGCCAGCTCAGGAACTAGACAGACTGGTCAGTAGAGCAGGCCTGGCCTGTCTGGCTCTCTGGGGTTTGACCAGTGTCTGGCCATGAGCTCTAAGTCTGTACTTTAGGACCAGGCTGCTCTTTCCTGAAGGAAGGGTTGGTCTGGCCTTCCAGGCCTGCAGCCCACTCTGGAATCCGATCTAGGAACAGCCTCTTGGGGAAGTGACATGGATTGTGTGTAACTGTCACATAGGCAATGTATCAGGTCCTGGCAACTGTGGAATGTGGACTTTGGTGGCCTCTGGGGCCAGGGTCACTGTAACCCAGCTCCAGGAAAGAACTGTTTACTTCATGGAATTCCCCTGGGCTGGCACACAGAGCCTGGTTGGGAGATGGCCTGATGTGGACCTCGCTGCCCAGATCCTGGCTGCCTCTTTTCTGTCCATCCCTGACCAGGCCCGGGCCTGACCTGACAGCCCTGAGTCTCTGCCTGGTAGAGCTGGCTGTGTGTCTAGTGCCTGGGAGAAACTCCCTGGCAAATCTGTCTGGGGTGGTGATGTGCATTCTTTTTTTTTTTTTTTTTGCCGTGGAACTGGGGATCTGAACACCTGGCCAGTGTTGGTGGAGGGGACCGGGGCAAGCTCAGGAGTGAGGTGTGGCTGGGATGACTGGAAAAGAAGGTAGCCAGCTCCCGGAAAGGCCCCACTCTTCATCCTTTCCTGGCCTCTCTATTCCTTACTGGCATTTCTCATGTTCTGGGATAAGGTCTAAATTGGGCACTTGGATGAGACATTCCCTGGGAGCTGCCAACCTTCTGGGCCCAGGGTGGTCACAGGACTGGCTGGCTCCACATGTCCTCCTCTGGGTTTGGCACTTGCCCTAATCCCCATGGTGTCTGATGCCAGTACCTGCTGCCTGCTGAGGTCCTCTTTTACTGTGCCTGTTCCCAGCATGATTTTGGAGCTGCCAAGGTGAGTGTGTGTGTGTGTGTGTGTGTGTGTGTGTGTGTGTGTCTACACATCCTCCTTGGATATTTAACTAAATATTGTTGGCCCCAAGTGAGGCACAAATTCCACAGTCCTTTCCAGCCTTGGACTTGTGATTGGAGAAAGTGCCTGAGTACAATTTGTTAGACGTGTATGATTCTCCCCACCCTTAAGGCCCTGGAGCATGTGTCTTCTCCCTTGGGAAGTCTTTCATTGGGACCTCAGGCCTGTGTCTCCCACCTTGTCTGGGCAGAATGTGCCTTGTGCAGCTAGCTCTGAGCTCTTCTGCTTTTGTGCCATTTTTTGAAAGATTCATCTTGTTACCTCACAGAGGACAAGAACCCATGTTTAAGAATCGACCAGACACTGGTTCAAAGCCTGATTCTTGCTTACAAGCTGATAGTTAATTCTCTTGAGACTTCCCTCTCAGGGTCCTGGTGAGGATTCATGAGCTCACCCACAGGAAGCCCAAGGCACGGGGCAAGCACTTCATGCATCTCAATTCCTGTTCTCTGCTTGTCTCTTCTCACCAGAGCTGGAACAGGGCCGGGCTTGTGGTCAGCACCCAGAAAAGTAGTGGTGACTGATTAATGATTATGGAGCCTGCAATTATTGGGAAGAAGTCCCTAAACAGGGAAATAGCTCTAAGCAAACCCATTAATTAGGGGCCTGTTTGCAGTTCTTTTGTGAGGGCTTGTCATGTGTTAGCTCAAGGAGGTCTTTGTAGCCCCAGCCCCCACCTCCCCCCCTCCCAGAGGTCATTCTGGGACAATAATGACCAGGGAGAGGCTCAGGCCTGAGGTGTGCAATTCCCACCTACTTGTGACCTTCACGCCCATCCTCCCTCCCACCCCCAGGACTGGTCCAATAAACAAGTTAACAGGTGACAAACACAGCCCTAATAAAGAAGGCCACTGGCTTTAGGATAGCAGTCAGCCTGAGCTAATGGACTTTTACCAGGGAGGAGGCTCCGACTGCTGACCTGGAGTGACCTCTCAGGCCAGGGGAGGCCCAGGCTAGCTCCCAACTACCTCTCTCTCTCTCTCTCTCTCTCTCTTTTCTTTCTTCAACCTTCTGAGTACATTTAAATAAAGGAGGAGGAGGAAGAATACCAAAATAAAATAAAACATTAACAAATCATGTTATAATCTATGTGTTTATATTTATCAGGTTAACAAACTTAAACCCTAAATGTCATAGGATTTGGTATTTCATGAAATTATAATTATATGAATGGTGTTCTGCAAGCAGGTGCTAGAGAAACTACTGGGATATCATTTGAAGTGGCATGGTCGATGTCCATTTCTCGTGGGTTAGCCCTCATCCCACTCCATGGGAATGGTTCCATGGGGCAGTTCCATGGGGGCAGTTCCGAGCTCTAGCTCTGGCCTCTGCTGGTTGCTGAGATCCTCTTAGGGACACCTAGAGATGACCTCATGCACAAGAGGTGGGTCTGGCTTCCTTCTAAGGCTTATGGCTTATGGCTCTTGTCAGGAGGGCGTCCATGCTGGCCTCTGGCTGTAGCATCTGAGGGTTGTGGATGCTGAGTAAATTCTTTAAGATACTTGGTGTAGGCATAGCCAACACACTTTCATTCACTTATCTGATGACTTCTGTTTTCCCAGTTAGTTGGGATTCAATTTCTCTCTTTTTCATCCTTAGCACATAAGTGCTTCAAATACATGCTGACATAAACGGTGTTTAATCTTCTCCAGCACCCTGAGCCAGGCTCCTTCTTCTGGAGCTGTCCTTCCCCCATTTCAGAGCATCACACATTGTGCTGTGATTACATTGGTTCTCTTGCCTTGGTCCACAACAGGTCATGAGCATCGAGGAGCATCTTTGTGTGACTGGCACAAAGAAAACTGCCCCAAATCTATAACTGAAGAGTGGCTCAGAGACTGAGTTCGCCCTGTCCAGGCTGCCGGAGACAGGCTCCCTCCCAACCCCAGTGTGCTTGGAAGCTACATTTCTTGATGAGTGTTTTCCTGTTTTACGAATCTCTGTCGCTAGAAGCCGATGTTCTTTTTTTCCGGGTATCAGGGCACATCTGGTTGTTGGTACATGTTGCTTAGTTAGAAAGTCTTAAAACAGCATGAAATTGTTAGCACGTTGCTCGGGCCTGCCAAGCTGTTCTTGAAACTCAGGCTTTGGTGGATTTAGTTTTCTGTTTGTTTTCTGTTTTCATGCAGTTTAGAAAATTGGTCTGTGACAACCTTGGGGGAAATAAGCCTGCCTTGAGCTCCGCCAAGAAGAGGCAAGCCTGCGGATGAGGGCTGAGGGAGGAGGGAGAAAGAGCTCAGATTGGAGGGGCTCTGGATTCCTTGCTTGCATAGCCTTTCCTTGTGTTTTTGATTGACACTCAGGCTAATTTGATGTGTGTGGAGAAGGATTGCCCAGAGGAGGCGGGGTGGGCTGGGGAGAGGGTGGTCTCTGTATGGGTCCTTACGGGGAGACCAGCAGGGACCACTGAGTTCCAGAGGAGGCAGACATTCTTTCTCCAAATAAATGCATGGTGGTGGGGGATGTGAAGGAAGACACCTCCTCCTCATACATTTGATTCCTCTGCTATCTTTGAGTGCGGGCAGTGCCAGAAATCAACTTTCCCCACATGGCCCCAATATGCCATCTCCCCTCCCTGTTCTCGGTAGCTCTTGTCTCTTGGCAGATTTCCTTTCTGGAAATAATCTCATATGGGGAAAGTCTGGGCTGATCTGTTTCACTTTGGGTGGTAGTTGCTTTCCTTGCTGGGTATGTGGGGCTGGCCAACGCTGCTTGTGGGCAGTGGAACTGGGCATGGAGAAGGACTGGTTGGAAAGTTCTCCGTTACCTCCAGACGGGACTCAGTTTGACTCCTGGCAGTACAGACAGCACTCAGACGTTACTTTCTGGTTAAAATGTCAACAGCAGCATCCTTCCTCCCCCTCTCTGGAAGCACGAGGGCTTATCTTTGGTGCTCTCTGTTCCATCTCTGATGGCTGTTTAAAAATCTTTCCTTTCATGCTTTTCCACAAAGGGATGATGTACATTTTCGCCTTAAATCTGTCCTCCGATGATGGTTGTCAGCTGTGCTCTGTTCTGCATCTTTAGGAGCAATTCTGAAGTTTCCACTCTGGCCCTTAGTGTCCCAAATGGGATCTCACAGCTCATCCTTGAGGACTCCTAGGCTGGGCCTTCTGCCTCCTTAACACCCCTCTGCCACCACAGGGGTTGGGATAACTGCACCCCTAAACATCGAAACTCTTGAAAGGAAGGCTTTTTTATTTGGTGTCTACACCGTGCCCCACATTGAACTTGTGACTTAGATTCAATGACTTGACAGTATAGGCCACTAAGTGACCTCCTCACAAGGAGACATCCAAATGCCTGTTTGTCTACTATCAAAGACCCTCCTCAGTCCTCCACAGCAGGGGTCCATGAGCTCAGGAAGATCAAAGATGGGAGGGCTTTGATTCTGAATTTTGGCCACCCCACCCCCAATCTAGTACTTCTCTCACTTTCTTGGTTTTTTAGGCCCCATTCCAAGCCCACCAGAGTGCCAGGTCAGGATCTAAATCAAGGCAGAACTCCCTGTGCCACCACCTTTAGCTTTAGTTAAATACATGAAATGGGTCTTTTATTTTCAATGTGGGAAATGAAGA